AATAATGGTCAAACAGATGACGACTACTACCCTCCTACTCGTGCTTGGCCGGTAACTGCTAGACCTAGAAGACATACTGCTGTCCCTTGGTGGTTGGAGCCTAATCATTTTGACGATTATTAACTTTGTTTACTTTTAAAATGTAGATAAGAGAATAAAAAACATGAATACTAGTACTTCATAACTGATCATTTAGTAATATTAAGCATCATAAAATGCCTTTTATTTATTTTCTAAAATTTGTATTCATCCTTTAGCAGCCGTAGACTTACATTATATTGTTTTTATGGACCCCACACGTATCTTCTGCTTCTTATTACATTCTGTATATAAAATCCTTTACAAAATATTATGACACACGATAACAATCGTTCCAAGCCAACTTTGGTACTGTACTACTGAATACAAAATCTGTAAAACTACATGCTTCAGTTTTAAGAATTTCGGATGCACTTGGAAGGTTATTTAAAAATCAAAGACCAAAATTAGAGACGGTAAATCATCAATTAGATTTGCCTTATATGCTGAAGAACATTCAGACTACTAGCATTTTAGCCAGGATTTTTTTTTCAGAATTCGTATTGTCATCTGATGAAGTCACGCAGTGAATTCGGTGGACAGTGTTCTCTGCTTGCAAAAGCTTTCTGCCTGAACCCGTCCTTGTTTTCTTTCTGTTGAAGTTTTATCAAATTATTATTCTTTTTATTGCTATTTTCGAATTACCCAAATTGATAATCATTTAGGACGATAGCAATTTGAGGTAGAGGTACATAATTATTTGACCTAGAAGACAAGAGAAACAACACAAAAACAGGTCTCCTCTTCTTTTTTGTAGGTTATCATTTTCGTCTTCTTCTTTAGGTATACTTCCTTAGTAGTATTAAGCTATTAATTAACAATCCTGTTCAGCGTTGTAAGTAATTTTAACAAATGTAGGGTTGTTTTCAAAAATGTAAACCTACCGAAAAGGGTACTTTTGTGTGCTTTGTAGGAAGCGGAAGTAGTAAGCATAAAGTCCGAAACCTATGATAATGACTACTGGTCTGATGGTCTGATGGTACCCTCAGGGATTTACAATCTATCAGCAGAGGTAGTAAATGAAAATACCGGTAACACTTTATAAATGTTTTCAGTCAGAAGCGCTGGATTTACCTTCACCAGGAACGCTCAAGAGTAAAAAGTGTGAAGGCAAAGGAGGTATATTATATATTGACCTGTAAACACTATTTTCTTTGTATATTTCATTTGTATGTTTATGAGGAAGGAAATTGAATTAAATACATATAACCTGCCACGTTCGGTTTGTGTATTTGTTAGATATTTTTCTGCTTTGTATCAATCTGATGAGTTAAACCTTTTTCAACTAATTTTTATAGTTTGTTCTTATGTTGTACTGTTACACCACTGTCCTCGGTTTAGGGGGAGGGTTGGTGCCTTCAAACCTGTTCAACACCGCCACATTCTATATGTGCCTGTCCCATGCCAGGGGCCTGTAGTTCAATCGTTGTCGTTGCTTCATGTCTTTCATATTGTTTTTCGTAAATTCATTTGTTATAAATTAGGCCGTTAATTTACTCAATTGAATTGTTTCATATTTTACATGTCAGGGCCTTTTATAGCCAACTATACTGTATGGGTTTTTCTCATTGTTGAAGGCCGTACGGTTGCCTATAATTGCTTACATTCACTTCATTTGAACTTTGGTGGATAGTTGTCTCATTAGCAATCAAACCACATCTCCTTATTTTTATATTGATGATGCTCCGCGTGCCTATAAGCATTGTACTGATTAACTACACATATTCCGTCCATTTTTCAGACTGTAGCCAGAATTCTAATTCTACCAGATATATTTAAATTTTTTTAAAAGTTATATGTTACAGTACAAGATTTATATATCTTCATTACGCATTACATTGAAGTTTTAATTGTTAAGCGGGCTCGTAGAAAACGCAACTGCTGAACTTGTCTAAACTTTCTCAAACCATGTACGTAGGTGTTGTACGGTCAATTCCACCCCTATAAAAAACACACAAACACCAAAACAAATAAACAAATAAATAAACAACAACAAACACACAAAAAAAAATCCAACCAAAAACAAACCTTAAAACAAAATTAAGCAAAAAGGTGCAAGCAAAAGTCAAATAAAGATTGGCAACACTATGAAAAATAAAGGCAAAAAGCGAAAAGCAACAAAACAATCCGCAAAACACTATGTAGATTACACTGTTTGAGAAACACGAACCCCTGCAAAAACTGGTGTGAACTCAGGAGCTCATGAATTCACTGCTAGTAACAGCATTCGTTTTACTCGTATAGTACATGTATATATTTTGGATAAAAGTCGAAGAAAGGCAGACAAAACCATGGTCGTTATAAGAAAAGACGTAACGATAAAAAACGATTTTAAAAGGTGTGAAGAGCTTTAGAAAATGGTAAAGTTGGTGACTGTGACAATATAGTAATATATAGAGAATACTGTTGATTATCTAATGCAAATGTATGTAGAGAATACTGATATTTATCCTATATAAATGTACGTTGAGAATACTGTTGATAATCTTATGCAAATGTGTGTAGAGAATTTAATGTGTACAGAAAGATAAACCATGTTTCTCTACGTATAGGTTTTTAGCTCTAACGTTTTAATGCTATACATGCACTAACATTACTTTATTCAGCAGAGATCTGTAGTTCGACAATAAACAGAATTTAAAAACAAACATACCTTGATATCTTTATAAAACTTATAAAATAGTCTTCCTCTTATGGGGAACTTTCAACGCAGAAAGGAAAGTTCAAATATCGTGCTTATCATACTTATGATTAAACTAGTATATAAAAACAATACGACGTTAATAGATAATATTATACTTTGCATTTAAATGCCAGATGTTTATTGGTTAATACGAGAGTACTCAGTAACATTATACTTCAACTCATGGCACATCTGTTAACAATTTTGAATGATAACACGTCGTATTAACCAATAAAAAGTAAGAAATCGGAAATCAATTATTTAAAAGATAATCATTTTAAAAGAACATCCAGTTCAAAGAAAATTGATAATCTATATATTGAGAGGGTGATAGAGTAGATTGTAACCTCCGAATGTCAACCCCTGCTTCACCATTATCTATATATTGAGATGGTGATAGAGTAGATTGTAACCCCCAAATGTCAACCTCTGCTTCTGCCATCTAGTTTTCTCTCGGGATGACGTTCTGCTATTATATCCCTCTTTCAGCTCCATATCATTTATATACACTTTACATGTAAAACACTAATATTTTTGTTGTTAAATCAAAGATTACATAAAGTCAATATGAAATATATTCCAAACTGAATACAACTTGTCGGCTTTCTTAAGGGCATACGATACAGTTACAGGGGAGATTATGACGTTGCTTAACGTAATTTTTTTTTTTGCGACGTCAAACTGTAACATATTGGGAAAAGCTGCATGTTTCAACTCATTCTCATTTTTATCAGTAGCTTGAAAACGAGTTCATTGACCCCTATTTTTTTAATTGACATTTGGCTTGATTGTGTATAAAGATTATTCATTTTGTAACAATTTTTATGAACAAATCACCGATGGATTTTTTTTAAATTAGATAAACAAACCACAAAACACTCTTTTTTTTTTACTTAGGATAATAAAAAGTTACTCCCAAAGAATTATTGCACAAATCTAGAGCATAATTATGAACATCAGGTATTCCATATATGTTTACAAAAATCCTTTTGTATTTATCTTTTGAAACAAAAAAGTTAGGCATGTCTATCCAACGGATAGAAATATCTGAGAAACCAAAATTTTAAGTAAATGTCTAAAATTTCGACCCACTTTATCTCTTAAAGTAGCACACGAAGATATATCTTTTATTACATATTTGAATTTACTAGGCGAAAAATAGTTTGTATGCAAATTTTCTTAAAAAAATCATCGTGGGATCAAAACTGTATCGCATGCCCTTAATGGAAATCAACGTTCAAGTTCAAACAAAATTTTAAACATTATGACTATTTAAATAATACTAACTGTGTGTTATACTACACTGTGTATATGTGTTTTTGTCTGTCCTGTTTGCCATACTTTACCTTATGTTGTCCTCTGTACACAGTGTATGTGTCTAAGTTTATGTTGAAAATTGAATTAACGTTTTCTAAACTTCGTGCGTTTGAATGTGAAAGGTTAAATGCATTTGAGAGCAATAACCCCCTTCCACAGGACAGAGTTGTAAATATAATAATAAATTATATTGGTTAAAATAGGTTTGATTAAACAGTTCTGTATTTGGCATAAAATAACAGACATCAAGTAGCGATCTTATGCGAAATGTTCAGTTATGTATTAAATTATAAAAAATAAAATCAATTTCAATACTGATAAAGACAATAATCAAAGATCTTAGGGAGGGAATTGGCTGATTTGTACCATTGAAAATTGAAATTATATTCCAGTGTGTGCATTTGGTGTTTGTCAGAATTCAGTTGCACTTCCTGACCCAACCAAACTACTATGTACAATTATCTATATAATAAGAATTTTTAGAAATATTTTGCAATCTTTATTTTTCGTATAGACTGCAGTTTTATATTTAAGTACTTCCTACCTAAATGATTTTATCTGTGGTATTAGAATATCAAACATTCTTAGCACCTTTTTTTATCACCAATAACAAATATTTTGTTGAAATATGCACATTTTTATTACCACTTTTTGAATGAAACGTTTTGACTTAATGATAAGTGCAACAAGCTGTACAAATCGGTTTCTCTTCCTTAATCTTTCTGATGGCATTATAATACAAAGTTGTTCAATTTTTTTTGTGAACGCGACTTTTGTGTACCTAACTATTTAAAATATAGGGATTTTGAAGTTTTATCCCCTTAGAATAACAGCTGGCACGGAATGTTATAAACTTATTTCATGTTTCATGAATAAAATTATTTGCGCATCAAATATTGCTTCTTAAATAAAAGACAATGCATTACATAAAATTGTGTTAGACCACACAACGGTAAGTTTAGATAGCTAAAAAGACTTTTCATGATTATTTAAAATGTTTTTAATTTTTAGCCGTTTAAGCAACTTTTAATTGTTAGTTGGTGATTCTATTTGTAAGTTTGATAATTAATTGAAAATAGTTTCAAATTATAGGTTTCAAAACGAGTGAGAATTGGATATCGCTTGATATCAACTCGAGTTGTTTAATTTCAATAAAATAATTAACGAGCCTTCGGCGAGTATTTAAATTAAACAACGAGCGATATCTAATTCTCACAAGTTGTTAAACCTATTTCTCTTATGGTCAACACTCTCGTTGTGTTAAATTAAAAAATCCGCGTATGGTTAATCTAGTCTTTTGCACCTACAAGTATGACGTCATATGTCCTGTTCCGGTGTCAAACTTTATCCTGGATGATCAGAAAGACAAAGCTATTTAAGGGTTATTGGCAGTAATTGGCCACAGTTTAATAGATTAAATTACATCACAACTATAAACTTCAAACAATATATTTGAATTGAGTTTGTGAATAATATATAACAATGCTATCCGAGCGCAGCGAAATGTGCCCATTATTGAGAAGGAGTTCAAAGACGCAACAAAACAATCCATGCATATAGAATATCTACCATATCTACTCAATTGAATTGGACGAAAATCCATTAATCCTGGAAATCAGAGGCTAATAATTTGAACTGACTAAATTGAAATTAACCCTAAAATTCAGAGGCTAATATTTGAATTGAGTTTGTGAATAATATATAACAATGCTATCCGAGCGCAGCGAAATGTGCCAAAATTGCCAGACTGTCTAAAAAACCCTTTTTTGGACAGAATGGCCATCCGCCACAAGGTAGGGGGGGGGGGGGGGTGGTGAGCTGCGCCTAATTGTGGCAATTACTGCAGTATTCACTAATAAATATATGACGACAATTGGATGACACTTCTGAGATATGTCTATAATATTCAAAAAATATTGTTATGTACAAACAGTATATTCCTTAAGCCCCCAAGAAAAACTAAATCGCTAAGGAAACATTTTCCCAGCATGTCTGCATGTCAGAAAGGTTTCAAGTGCACCCTGAATAATATTCAAGAACACCTCATTGCCAAGTGATGTAAGGTGAACACCATTTTCTAACAAAAAAATCTTATTATTTTTGAAGTGTCTGGACAATGAATATAACACCCAACATTTTTCAGAACAAAAGTAGCAATGGTGCTATTTAATCTGAGGCTAATCCTTTCCAAAGGAGCATTATTTTTAGAAAAAAATGTTTTCCTCGGTAAAATTTGTGACCAAACCACAATGGATTTAGGGAACTTTTCTCAAATCCAAATTAGAAACTGCTTTAACTGATATTGCAAATAACCTTACCTAATCTTGCCTATGTCCTTACTCCCAAATTTGAATTATTATAACATCTGGTTGTTCTTCATATCTAATCATCGTGTTAATTTGCCCCTTCATTTTAGACAATATTAACCCGCTCCTTCCTTGCCACCACACAGTTGCTCAAACCTAAATTCACCTCTCCAGGTCTATTACTTTCTGTGCAAAAAACATTTTTGATTATGGAAGATCCAACGATCCATATGCTGGTCGACCGACCTGCAAATCTTAAACAGCAGTTAGTACTTGCTGTCATGTGTTCACAGGTTAGCCTATACATATCAACATTTTGACAAGTAATATACCATTTACAGAAAAACAACATTGCGTGGATAATCACGACAAAGTAACCCCCTCTTTTTCAGCCTAAACTGGAACCCTTATATATTTTAAATAGGTTGAATCAGATTTCAAACGACCAAGTACCTTTATATAATCATCTGCATACCCTTCAATCGAAAGAGTAGTGGCCATACCTATTATAAATGAATGTGACTTGTAATTAGACCCTTTATATTCCAAAACAGCCAGTGATTTTTTAAGGACGGCAGAAAACTGATATCTAGTCAACGGTTTAGTATCATAGTGACAAAACAACGGTCCTTCAACAGACTGACGAACCATGAAATAAGAACTCAATGCTATCACTAGACAGATTTTAACATTGTATTGACTTGAAATGGTGAGCACTTTCCCTGTTCCTTACTGGTCAGATCTTGATATTGCCAAACAAACCTGATCAAATTTATCACAAACCTCTATATTATTAAACAAAACTGTATGATCAGCAATACCTGTACTGCCTACCGTCAACTCTCTTACCCTAAACAACCCATGAAAGGCTAATGAAAATGCTGCAGTGAACAATTTTGTTTCAAACTATGACGAGCACAAACTTGGAAGAACACCTACAATCTTTTCCAACAGTTCTCTAGTAACTGGTAACCTCGAGTCTAATTTAGATTTCGCGTGCCATACACCTTCAACCATTTTACGAACAACAAAACACTGTGCATTGTCCAACAAATTATTCAATTTATGAAAGAAACTTATGCCTGATAAATAGCAGTTTACCGTAGAATGCGATAGTCCAGTTTTGCATAAATGTGTTATAAAAAATATAACATTCAAGCCAAAGTTAACTCTGAAATTACAAAGTGATTCTAATCCACCTAAATAGGTTTTGAATGTGCTGGGGGCAACCGAATATCGCAACAAATAAATTATGTCAGCCTCAAAATAATTTTCCAAGTATTTCATAGGTATCTTGGTAGGATTCTTTTCTGCATCTGGTGCCACTACTCTGAATCGACACATCTGAAACCGAGATAAAGAATCGGCGATCACATTGAATGACCATTCTATATGTTTTGCTATAAACTGTCCACAGCCCAATGATGGACTACCTGCACTGTCTGTGAACAACTCAATAGTTTCATTGGTAATCCACAACTTTTCCGGTAAATAACATTAACCATTAAAATGCGACAAATATTCTAACCACACCATTGCATCTTGTTTGACCTCAATAGTGACTCGAATTAAATAAAATGGTTTCTTTTCCTTAACAGACGCAATTAAATCATAAAATCTTCTTAAAAATGCTCTTGCGGATTGGATAGCCCTGGCACAAAAAGCCATTAAACCAATAGACGACTCACTCTAAAACATTTACCCGAACCTGTTTCATAGTAAGCAAGTTTTCTAAGTGAGATTTTATTTTTTTAATTTTGCTGTCAGGAATCCTGACCAACATCTGATCAGTATCTATTTCTAAACCCCAAAAAATTAGCACAGTAGTTGATCCAATTGTTTTATTTTTAGCGATTGGGACATCAATTTTTGAAGTCACCTCCAAGAATTGAGACATTAAAACCTGAAAGTCATTAGTTAAAGCACCTCCAGCAAAAATAAAATCATCCAGGTAATGATCAAGCGTGTCTAAATTGGACTCCGTTTTCACAACACAATGTAAAAATGTCGAAAACTTTTCAACCACCAAAGAACAAAAAATGACACACCCCATGGGCAATCATGTGTCTATGTTATATTTACCGTCAAACATAATTCCCAGGAGATCAAAGTCTGCAGAGTTTATAATTAACAAACGAAAAGCCTGGCTTATATCCAACTTTGCAATAAGAGCCGATCTACCTAAATTTGAAATCATTTCTAATACAGAGTCAAAAGATATATATTTAACTTTACACAAGTCTTCATCTATAAAGTAATTGACACTACAGATTTGGGTAATAAAGGTTATTAAACGCCATCCATTATCTGGCTTTTAAACCAAACCAATAAGTGAAATTCTCAAGGTAGAAATAGGTTTTTTCTGTAAATGGGCCCAATATCCTGCCCAATTCAACTTCTTTTGCCAGCTTCATTTTTGTTTCATTTTTATGAATTTCAGATGAAATGAGGTTTTTGGACCACACGGACAACCTAGGCTTAACATAATTTAAACGAAAGCCATCCCTAAACCCAGTAAACAATAATTCTGCATCATAACGATTATAATAATTAGTCAAATACTTTTCAAGAACAGGAACTTTAACCGACGTATGACCTTTGACCCACAACTGGTCCTTGTAATCTTGGTCTTGTATACAACTGTGGGGTCCTGAAAGAATAATTATCCTGAGGTATCAAATGTAAACGAGGCCTTACAATAAAAAGTGGACGAGTTCCACCACCCAACATTCTGCATTGGTATTTATTTACCATACTTCGAGGACAAGATACCAAAGGATGAGCAGCAAAACATCTAATGCATGAATGACTATAAGTTCAATTTAATCTAGTGCAAGAACCATTATAATTGAAAGCATAGCACTTGCATATGCTTCAAACTGTTGATTTTCCTTTTTTAAAGGGCGATGTTCCTTTGGCTCCATCATACGGTGTTTATATATCCAAACTCGTTCGTTTTGACCGTGTGTGTAGTGATGTCATAGATTTTAACGAACGTAACCAATGCATCACTGGTAAATTATTAAGTCAGGGATTTCGTTACCATAAATTACTTAAAACTTTTACTAAATTATTTCATAGATACAAAGATTTGATTAGTAAATTTGGCTGTACCTGTAGAAAACTTATTAAAAACGGTATTTCACATCCTAAATTTTACGGTAATATTGTACTAAAAGCGCGGAAATCACTATGCGATCCGTGTAAACTCATCGAACCTTTAAACAAACTTATTAATAAAGGTTATCTTACCAATGTTGTAATTAGATCTTTGAATATAGTTTACATTGGCACTAATGTCGATTTTGTCATCAGCAAATTAAACATCACTAAATTTGTATTCTTTTCAAACGGGATGTATAAAGACACACCTACGTTCATTTTTATCTATTAAGAGGTTAACTCCTAGCTATCCTACTGCCTGTCGATACATTTATTTTAGGCATTGCACAAGTCATGTCTTCTTTGACTGTCCATGACGTTAAAATACTAAATCCCTGGGATGTGTTTTAGTTGATTTTAGTCTCTGATGCATGAGTTTTTATTATTAATTGTTTTTGGCTTTTAACTAGCTGTCAGTAACTGCGAGTACTCTCAAATCGTACTTTTTTGTTAATTTGACCTGTTGATACTATTTGTAATGCTT